ACTTCGTGAGAAGGATAAAAGGTGGAGAAAAGTTACCGCAGCTGAGGTATCCTTAGGATTCTTCATTGCGTTGGGTATCAACTGTTTATGTACTTCAGGGTTTATCTGCTATTCCTTACCCAGTTTTTGCGGCATATCAACAATAATCTTATCCTTGCTCGGCGGCTAGCCCATATGATTGCTATGAAGCTGCGATTGTACAAAATAGAGTATGACGAACAGAACAAGACGTGAGTTTTTCTTTTCGCTTCGTAGTGTTTGCTTCGCTTTGACATGAGTTGACATAATTTCTAGCGTTAGGAGGGTGTTTTTCTAATCATTTTCTTAGAATTTGATTCAAGCTAATTGGGAGTTTATTCGATACTTATTTCTATTCGTTTTTCAAAAGAAATTATGCCGTTGTAGATTCACAAGTTTTGCTCTCTCAATCTTCTCTTATCATCCGTATCTGTAATGCATTTAATTTCGTATTCTGTACTAGGTGTGGTATGAGTATCTAGTTTTCTTCTAATGCTGTATAAAAAAACTCATTGCTTAATTAGAATTCATTGTTTTAAAACGGACTATTTGCAAATATGAACACCCTTGGTCAATAGATGACATTCCAATTCTTGCAGTGGTTGCAAAATATTAAGTAGAGCTTTGAAAATATGTACGTATCAGGATTACCAAGGGATCCGAAGCATTCACTGCACTGACCAAATGCTCAGCCCTTCGTCCTGTCATTTACGTTCTCACTGCAATTTTGCAAAATATCGTTATCGATACTCCTGCGGCTGTTATTTGGAATAAAGTTAAGGTTTGCGAATCAGCATGAGCGGGAGAAAGCTCAAAATGTTTTAGCAGAATGTTTTAGGTTTCAACAAGGGATAAATTTCCTTTTATTTTGTCGCAGTTGTGCGGATCTCCTCTCGATCTTCTTCCTTGTCCTGTACACAAACTGCCTCTTCCTTCTGGAAGAAGTAGATGTTTTTGCGTTCTAACTTTTTGGGTCTTCTACTTCGTTCATTACTAGAGACTGAAAGGTTTGTGGAGCTTTTGAAACTGCGTACAGCAGAGATTGTGCGGCGAAGCCAGGCTCTACAGAACAAGTGGTCGTTCAATCAGAAAGAGCTGTATGCGTTCGGTTAGTTGCATTCGTTTCAATCGTTTCTTTTGTTTTTGAATTTCTGACACACTTTTAGCAAAACTTGTGGATGTTTGTCTTGATGTGATTGGTATTTTGGACACCGCAGATGTGCTTGAGCCGAATATCTTACCTGCCGTAACAATGCGGATTTTTACTTCCAAATTGGATAACTGGGTCGAGGAGGTGCTTATAAGGTAATTTTTGCAGCATATCCTTCAGTGTTTCGCTAAAATTTTTCAAAACTCGCTCTTTAGAATCAAACTTATGTTGCACTGGGCTGTTACAGCAGAACGAGAAGGTAGTC